TGTGACAGCTTATTGATTCTCATAAATATATTGTGTGATATTTTATTCATAACATTTTGACAAAATTGTTATTATTTGCGATATGTTTAAATTATAAAAAAGACAGATTATTATTATATAAATTATTATCATATAAATTATTATTATATAATAAATTATATTATAAATTATAAATTATAATTATAATTATAATTTCTTTCAGAGATTTACAATTAATTTCATATCTTATGCAAATTCTCATTTATGTGCATGCACCTGTACCATTGCGTGTTGTACCGTACTTGAGCGCGCATATTTTAGCCAGTATAATTGATTAACTTTAATTGTATATAATTTGAAAAGTATTATAGCCTTGACATTTTTGCATTAGGATTTTTTTATTCAAATTACCTCAGGAATCCGCCCTTAAGAGATAATACGATAGTAGCGGGACACCCTGTATTTGGAGATCGCAAATTTATATTTTTCGAATTATTAAGGATTATATACGATATATAGGATTATATGTGGTATATACGTGGTGTGTGTAGCATGAATATTCGTGACTTCGTTGAAGCGTCGGACTGATGTTCCGTGGACCTGTGTTTGATTCCTCGTACTGATATTTTTTAACTTTTAGACTGCCGGCATTTTTCATTAAAAAAGTGATTTTTTTTCTCAAAAATTGTTTTATATAAGTAATATACACATGACGCAGAATTTTGAGATTTGTGCAGTGCCACAAAAGTGGCTTTCCCGGCAACCTAAAGATTAATATTTTCATAATATAAAATATATTATTCGCTGTGAAATAAATAACAATATATATTAGTGAAAATTAATTGGTTTTGAAGATCTATAGATACCTCCTGATGCGAAATGGATCCAACGTCATAATATTTGACCTCGATTTTTTCGAAAACGGGAAGGTATCTAGACAAACGGCGAGATATATATTTATTTTCGATGAAGAAGGTCTGTGCCAAAGCCCATTAAAATCGATGATCCACACTTTATGGCCTCTCTTTGTTAGATGTAATAATAACTTAATTTTACATGTCGTTTGCTAATGATAGAATTTTTTGTTTAGTTTAATCTAATCTACCTGTACACCGCGGATCGTTTGTGCGTTACCGAACACTTTGTATATATGAACTTTTTTCCCGCGCAATGATTCTTAAATGTGATAACTGGATGAGTTACTAACTTTACTAGAAAAAATGTTCGAATGATGTCACTTTCAACTGTACATATACATATATGTCATTAACCCTTAATTTAAGCATTAATTTAAAAATTGTGTATTGCGACAAAAATTACTTGATATTTGAAGTACCTGTAAGATATCGCAGAACTCATGATAGTAAATGATGCGTCGAATTCGAGGTAAAAATCAATTTACGCAATGACACGCAATCATCAGAGAAGAATCCGAAAGAGCTAATAAATACGGCTACTAACAGAAGAACGCGAGAGCAAACTTGGCCCCGATTTATCCACAGCACGTAAGAAGGAATAAACACGACATCGACGGAAGAACACACGCTCGGTTCACAGGATGTATCCTTCCTCCTGAGCGCACTTGGACAACGAGGCATTCAGCGCCGGGGATTCTAACAGTTTACGGGAACGGTAAACCGTGCGTTATAAGAATACTCGCTGTTTCATTATATTTCGACTCTAACTGATAAGCCATAAGCGAGCTTCTGTCGATCTTGAAATTCTTTTTGTAACAAATGTCTCATTCATCAACGCATAAAATGTAATGATTACTTGTAGAATATTCCGCATATACTTTCTAACGTCAATATAAATCGATAGCTGTGTAAACCCAAGCCGACGGAAGGAGCAGAGGATCTTGGATCGTCTTCGATAAGACTGGCACGACTGTGAACACAAAATATTTTTCGCTTTTGAAACGTACTATATTTTTCTCCACACGCTTACAGAATAATAGTAGTGATAATAGTACTAAACTGTCGTATTTACAAGATTTTGACGACTTACGGTATAGTAATGTATGTTTTAATACGCAATGATAAGAATTTATATTATATATATTTTTATCATTGCATGTTTCGATATGCCATAATAAGAACATATACGTATATATACGTATATACAAAGCATACATGTAATTTTTCTATCACACTTTCCGACGAATAGACGATACAGAAATCTGTACTTAGTGAAAATAAATCGTCCATGAAAAAAAAAAATTACGTCGCATCAATGCCTGGATATTAATAACCATGATATGTAATTCTGAACATTCTTATTGTTTTGGTTTTAAACACACAATATAGAATATATATATATATATATATATATATATATATATATATATATATATATATATATATACACATATATTCTATATTGAAAATTTAAATATTTGTATTTGAAAATAAAATATATTAAGAATGTCCACAGCTAGATATCAGTGTTATTAGTTATAATGTTATTATCAGGCATTAGTATTTTTACTTTTCTTACTGAATAACTGTTTTTCGCTTGTAATAAGAAATAACACGATACTCCTTTTCTTTCGACATTGCAAAAACGGCTAGTCATGGAAGAGCGAAGCGATTGATATTGAAACATATTCTTTGATCCGATCAAGGAAACGATGAACGTCTCCAAGAGAAAGAAATTTTTAATTTTCTGTGCACGAGGGAACAATCTTACGAGTCACTTTGATCGAAGCAAATAAGGGGATATCGATCACAAGATTGAGATAGAAAGAAGTAAATATATAATACGATGTATAATATGACTGCGTCCTTATAGTATATTTACAAAATGGACTCACTTTCAACGAGCAGAATAAGTCAAATTGCGAAACATGATGTGATTTAGTTATCCTTCATTATCAGTTTGGATTTGCAATCTTATTGGCACGTCGTACAGTGTGACGAACTTGTGCACTTCTACCCGAGAAAGATTTTCCCATGTAAATAAAACCAGATAAGTTTCTTGATATTTTAAAAAACCAGGATCAAAAAATCAAGGACTGAAATAAATTAATGTCCTTGTTAATTAACGTGTTAAAATATAGCGTTAATTAACCACCGGTTATCGAAGTTAAGTAATGGATATATAGCTAACTTGATCGAATTCGGATTTGTACAAAATCCGATTGAAGGAAGAATGATGTAGCGTAAATCCTAGTTACAAGTTACTTTGGAAGTGCAAATTTGGATGTGAAAGAGATAGGAAGCCACGACTACGTCGTTTTATCTTACAATATTCTTTGAAATCCCTGAATTTCTTGAAGTGAAATTTCTCTCGAAAAGATACAATAACAGCTGAATCACTCGAATTCGAATGATTTTCCACTTATATAAAGTGAATTGTCCACTCGAAAGAAGTGAATATTTTTACTTGAAACTTAAGAGTAGTCTGATTTGTTCAACCGTCAGAAACAAATTAATTCTAATCGACTTAAAACCAGTCTTTTAATAGCAATTTGAACTTTGTTCAAACATATCAAACATATTGTTAACAGAGAGCTTAAATTTAAATTTAAATCACTATCGACTTTTATTTATATGAAAAAATCGACCTTTATTTATATGAAATCAGAATCCATCCTGAGCTGAAGTAAAACATTCATTCTTACAATTTCAAGCGGCTGAATTTTTATTCATTTTGAGATTTCACTTGAAGAAATTTAGGAAACATTATAGCTAAATTTCTTGCCCCTGGAAATTGGCGAGAATCTAATTGAATCTGTCAATTAACGTCAACAAGAAACCGATGTAATTTGACGATTCGCAATTAAAGCAACAAAACCAGAAGGAGATTATGACTCATACTTTCCTTCTATAATGGCTATCGAGTAAAACTCGCGTTTATAGTACAGGTTGTATCTTACAATCGACATCAATATAAAAATCTATCAAATATCCACGAGTCTATACTGGCGAACGTTCGAGACTGTGCAGACCTAAACGGTGTCACAGCTTTGACGGGCAGATATTGGCCTGGTTCACGCATCTAATCATTTAATACGCGCACCGAACTAATTTCTCTTAAATTATCTCAATTTCGGCGATGCGCAAACGATGCTGTATTCAATTAGTATGATATTCTTCTTTATATATATATATATATATATATATATATATATATATATATATATATATATATATAAGCTTAGTATTACAGTTGTTTATATGCATCGTCGATATTAAGATAATTTAAAAGGATGTTACTATTGCACGTATATCAAACAATCATTGTAAAATAACATATCAACAGGCAAGTGTTCGAATATGAGAGTTCCCGAATTCCCCTTCTCCCATTTCCTTCTTTTACGTATTATCGTTCTAAGATTTATGCATACAATCATCACAACTTGTTTCCGTTTTACGATCGCCGTGACTTAGTGTACGACTCGGTTTCAATTCACTCCGTAGCGATGCTCCTCAGTACGTATTTCACTGTGTAGGCGAACGCCGCGAAGCCGATGATAACAACAAGATTAGCCAGAGCACTATGTAATGGGCTCTGCTCCCTCTGCAATTGGTCTCGTATCAGCGAAGAAACCTCGGACGCGGTAGACTGATGCCTCGCTTGTTTCTCCAACTCTTTCCGTCGTTCTAGCTCGACTTCAATCGCCTGCGATATTAATAAAACATTAATATCATCTAATATTATAGCGTTATAGTATTTTAGATAAAAGTAGTATTTACTTCGACTGTTTCTGGGAAGAGCTCACAGAACATCTTATCCTTTAAGTTATACTCTAAGCTCTGCGCAGCTAGCTGTCTCTTTTCATCGTCTGTTGAGCTAATGCTGCCAAGCGTGGGACTTTTCTCGATCTACAAAAGTGTGATTATAAAATTTACACTTTTACATTTTCAGGAATACTTTTAATAAACAGAGTATTTTTTCAGTACTGTTCAACATTTAAGAAGTTAATCTTGAGGTCATTATATGAAGAAGAGTTCAAATAAGCAGAAGTAATGGTATCACTTAGGCCTCATTTCAGAGATACAAAGTATAAAATGTAAAAGTGTAAAATTTTATGAAATTATCGTTTGTTAATAGTTCTTAAACAAAAAGTAGACAAAAATTATTTTACCAGTGCTATATCCCATCAAGTACCTAATTGGAGATAAAAAATTAAATTTAGAATAAATTGTACATCCTGTATTTATAAAATCAGACATTAAAACATTGAAACATGAATATCTCCTAAAGTAAGTTTTGTTGAAATCTACCAAGAGTACTTTTTTGTATATGATTAATAAAATATTAATAATTTTAATTCTGTCAATTGGCATACAATTTTTGTACAGTAATATATTGTCTAAATCTTATTTCTATGCCATTAACTGCTTACAAAATGACGATTATAGATAAAATATAATAGCCTATTTATTTACTGGCCTGAATTTGACAAAAAAACTTCTTCTATTCAATTAGGAGCCATTGAAAAAAAACAATCAGAATTTTTAATACTTTGTATTTTTGAAACAGGGCCTTTGAGACTATATATTTATATGCACTTTTCTTCATAAAACAATGTTAAAAATAAATTTCTAAAACATTAAACAATATTTAAGAAGCACCCTGATATTTTAATTTTTAAAATATTCTATATATTCAGTGTAATTAAATTTCTTTATAATTATGCTTTTTAACTATGCATAGAAGAATTTACCATGAAACTAAGTAATCCAGTGAGAATCGTAGACACACTCCATGCTGGATTCCATGTATCAGGATGGAAGTCAGAGATGGACAGGCACAATCTGGTGTTGACTTTGAATCGGCCGTTTGGTGTGGTCATGTAAATGCTAGGTGGTTGGAATGGAAACTCCACTGGGAATATCAACTTGCCATGATAGAAACCACCCTCATACGGAGTTTTCTCTGGTCCTTTCACCACATAGTGCCTAAAAGTAACAGTATGCCTGTATAATTCATTCTCAAAATTATCAACTATTTACTCAAACTTACTTTTTGTGCAATCAGAACTCACCATTCTAATATATTGGAAGGTACTGGTTCTGCCAGTACATATGGTACTGGATCTTTTTTGAGGCGCAAATAATCCTGTTTCAGTCTAGCTGACGCACTGTTGGTTTTTCTGTTCATTCTTCCCATATAGCTTAGCGCAACTTTTAAACAAATTCTGCTTCTGCTTCTATGGTCGCTCTAACCTCTCTGCTTCTCCGTTCAGCAGCTTACTGCTATAATCAGATCTCAACGGTTTGAGCCCACCTTGACGTGATGTTTCTAATAAGTAGCGAAGCAGATACGAAGTTTCCAATAAAAAGAGTGAATTTTTCCCGGAAAAGGTAATGCTACTCTCACAGCGGATCATGTATACAAGGCATTCAATAAAGTGAGCTGACCTCGTCGCGGTTTCAGCGTCAAGTCGTACAATACTCGTGCATTACGGGTTCCACGTGGAAGCGTCAGGACTTATCTGTAGAGAAGATAAAGCTGTGGACGGACGCGAGGTTGTGTAAACGACGATCGCATGGGTTGCTCAGCGCGACAAAATAGGTTACGTGGTGCGCAAGGATGACGACGATACGTAATCAAGAGGGAATGAAGCCGCGATTGAAATTGTCGGACACACAAGCACGTCGCTTAACAAAGTCGATTTTGATCAAGTGTTATCGGTGCCAGCGAACTTGACCAAACTTGACGGATTTGGCAGTACGAGGAAAACATATGACTGTTAAATGACCGCCACCGTCGAATACGTCTGTCCATGCGCAATGTTACCACATTAGTGCAATTAAGACTGTCTTGTACGAATTTGTCTCGTGTCAAAAAATTAATTCAATATTGAATCAAATTTTTGTTTCTCATTGCAGAAAGTTTATCCGAACTATTGTGCAATCGAAAATAATGGGCTGATTTATTTGTGAGTTGTACTACTTAAAAAATAAAAATCCGTTCTGAAATCACGAATTATATATTTTTCATGAATGTGCCAGCGAAGCACTAACGTTTACGTTTTCAATTTTTCATTAAGACTATTCTACAATTGTGTAAGCATAATCGTGAACGTAAAGATGCCAATACATGGGAGCGTTCCAGCGTCGAGCATTAAAGCTTTAGCCAATCAACGTATCAGATTCCAGAAGTATACTTCTAGTTCTTGTGGAAAGTGGCACGTTGATTGGCTACCGCTTTAACGCTCGACGCTCGATGCTCCCATGTAAAGGCACCTTAAAAGCCAATCAATCCGAGTATTTTATTCACTGCTAATTGCTTTATTCTGATTGGTTATAATCACTTACATCATTTACGATATGCTTACGCAATTATAGAATGGCCTTTAGATTACGACGATTCACAACGGCAACTGAATATACTTATACTTTATACTTTATATTGGGTGCTTTCCAATTGCTTAACACATCTTGACACACACGTGCACAAAACCAGTTTATTGGTCATATATTATCTAAAATATCTTGTAAGATAATATGCAACCAATAAACTGGTTTTGTGTAATGGCTCCTGCACACAGGACGCGGTAATGCTTGCAGCGCGGCGGAAGTCCGCGCGACACCCAATCAATATGTTGTTTTTTCGTAAAAGCTAGAAGGTTATTACGGAAAGCAGCATATTGATTGGCTGTCGCGTGAACTTCCGCCGCGCGGCAAGCATTACCGCGTCCCGTGTGCAGGAGTCATAAGAGCTAGAAGGTTATTACCTTTGACTATATAACCATGGACCGCTAGTCGTTATCTAATGTCTGCAGCAAAACGTCTGTTAACATCTGCAACGCCGCCAGGACCAAACAACGGCTATTACGTAAACTATCACATACTTGTGATTTCCATTTTACCATGTAAAAGATATTTTGTGTGTGTGTCCGTGATCATAAATTGCAGTTATCATTAAAATACATGAAAAATTATTATGATATTTCTTTAATCGTCAATAACAGACCTTTTCATTTTTTCTTCAAATAAATTATTACATTAAAAAAAGTTATACAACTTTGCTATAATATAAAAATCAACAATTTTTAAAGTAACAAGAAAAATAACCTGATTTGTAAGGAAAATATAAAAACACAAAATAAGATATTTATATAACTTCATACCAAATTTGTATTTATTATATTACATAAGAATATGTAATATTTATATAATATATTTATATAATAAGAGATATGTAATATATGAATAAAAAAAAAAATATATATATATATATTAAAAATGTTTATATAATATATATGTAATATTATAAAAAAAACGTTCAACATTTTTTTAAAACATTATTTAAAATACCGTCCTTTAAAGTAGCTTGGAACACTGAAGTATTGGGAGTACAAATTAGTTCGGTCCGTTTTCAAAAGATGGCTCTGGCTGTTATGAATGTTTCATAGCAGAGAGAAGCCTGAGAGCGGCCATGCCATATGCTTTGGCCGACACCGATTCTCGGCCCAGTTGGGAGTGCCATCTGCATCCATTTTTGACTGGGAACTACGTTCCTCACATCCATTTTAATTTAGTGCGTGTCCATTCTACATCCATTTTCTGGCGGTTAGTGTTTGTGCTAAGCACATAATTGCGCGATTGAGAACATCGACCATCGCGCACGGACTTATATTCCATTCAACACGCACATAATCTTCTTCCTCTGTACACACTGTCATAAATTTATTTGTACGTGTATGTGCATGTACGATATATGACTGTATGATATATCAGTCTCGATAGAAATGTACAATTCGATAGAAAAATCAAATGCTATTGTATCAACAGCATCGGTGTAATTGTAATAAATGTTATTAATTTAAATGCAATAAGAATCAAATAAAACGTCATACTCTTGTTTTGATAATCGATGTTTTTGAATCAACAGCACGATCTTGTTGTCGGGACTTTATTGTATCAATTATATATGCTCTCTCTTGAAATAAATAGATAATCGTTTTAATAATGATAT